TCAACATGATCTTGCTATGGAACAACTTGAACGTGAAAAAGATGATACATCAATTGAACAAATGCGTGCTACACATCATCATTATCTAGAAGTATTAGGTCATGATCCATCATATAATTCACAAAATCGTTCAAAAAAACGTAGTTTATCACCATCTGATGAATTAAATAATGATAAACGTCAACGTCTAGATGCTATATTACCAGATGATTCATTAGTTTTTCCACCCATGACAACATCAATGGATAATCTTATTGATGTTATACCTGGACCAATGTCACCAACACGAAAAAGTGGACGTAAAGTTCATGAACTTAATCAAGCACCATTATCACCATCACGTACACCAGTTAATACACGACGTAAAAAAGGTATGGGACATTTAACAAAAGAAAATCAAGAAGAACAAGAAGACGATGATGATGAACATGGACAAACAACAACGGCTCAAGAAGTAAATTTTTTTTTTTAAAAGAAGACGCATAAGAGGTCAAATCAGTTCACTAATACTTTTCTTAGTCAACTTTATTAAATCATAAATAGACAAGACAATACTATTGAAATTAGAAAGTTGATAGCTCTTTGATGAGGTTTTAATCCTATATGTTAATCATCAATTGATTGTTTAATTTCATGAGATTATAGATTCAATCTACTATTAGCATATTTACTGTATTTATTACTCATAGTAATCTTTCAAAAAATATTTTATTTTAAAAATTGAAGTAACCAAAATTCTTGTATTGTTAGTTTGATAACCATTTTAAAAGGTTACAAAACCATATTTTTGTCAAAGCAAAAAAAAAAGATTCCATCATTTGAAGAACTTCTAAACACACTATTCTTCGAATTATTGTTGGGTGATCGAGAAGTTTTCATGGAACTCATATTGTGACTTAAACTTAAGGGGACCAGAGGTAAAATATTTGAAGTACTTATATTGTATTCATCGCAATAGAATGGATTATTAGAATAAATGACCAAGAATGGATTAATTTGTTGATAGATTTTTAGTATGAAAATCTGATCAAAACATCATAATACTAATGAGTGATCGAAAGGTTTTTAAGCAAGATGCTTATTTTGCTTTTGACCCACTAGGAAGTATTGCCGATGAGTTAGGACTAGAATTTTGTGCTCTTNATGGTTTAATTTGTTGCAGTGGCGTACGCAGGGGGGGGGGGCGAGGGGGCCCGGGCCCCCCCTTGAGACGAAAAAGTCCTGAAGGGGGTACAGGAAAAAATATTTTCGCGTGATAAAAAATTTTTTGTGTCATGGCGGGCCCCCCTCTTACGAAGTTGGGCCCCCCCCCTTGAAAAATTTCTGCGTACGCCGCTGATTTGTTGATAGATTTTTAGTATGAAAATCTGATCAAAACATCATAATACTAATGAGTGATCGAAAAGTTTTTAAGCAATATGCTTATTTTGCTTTTGACCCACTAGGAAGTATTGCCGATGAGTTAGGACTAGAATTTTGTGCTCTTTTCGAATATGAATTTGAAAATTTTTTGTTTCAGGTTTTATTCCAAAATATTGAAATAATGTGTATAAAAACAGCTTCAAAATTTTGTTTGAACTCAGAGTTTTATCCCACATTTTTGTATTTCCTCTATAGCGATCTTTATTTATATATCAACTTGTAGATCATAAGCTACCTTACAAAATGTAAATGCTTATAGTTTCATGTAGGTAAAAGCTACAGCTTACATTTTGTAGAGAAACTAATTGACTTTTCATTAAAAATAATTTTTCAGATCTGTCAAAAAATTTCGCAACTTTCTGATAAGTTAAAAATGAATGAACATCTCATCTGAAAATTTTCCGATCATCCGTTAGTATTAAAATATTAATTTGAACATAGTCTTTTCATTGATATACAGTGGCGTAGCCAGAAATTTTTGAGTCATGGGCAATTCATCAGCCGAACTATTTTGAGTTACGGGCAACTAAGGGCAACCGTTATGATTTCAAAAATATCTATGGGCAATAACTTTTGGAGCTATGGGCAATTGCCCTACCCCTGGCTACGCCACTGTTGATATATATCATGAAATAGAATTAGTAAAGAAAAAAACTGCTGCACTCTTTGATTTCCTATGCGCTCATTTCTTCTTTAAATAATTTAAAAATTAAGAAGAAAAATTTCATTTAGGATTTTGAATCGGGTAAAAAATTAAATCGTCGTGCAAAAATAATGCTCAATGCATTTGAACGTGCATTTGATTCAGCTGATGCACTTTCATTTCATGATCATTTATCATCAGGTAATCCAAATTATCATACAAGAAAATTAACAGCACAAAAATTTTATACATTATTGGTACTAAAAAAATTACAAGTTGTTGATGTTGAACAAAATCAAGCATTTGAAGATATTAATGTAACACCTGGTGTAAATTTTCATCAATATATAACAAGTGGTGGAAGATGAGACGAAAGAAATATTAATATTGTCAGATGTATGTTTTATGGAAGACAAAAATAAACAAGCACGTATGGGATTGGTAAAATTAAATTAAATCTTCTATATTCTCTTCCCTTTCGAATAGTTTTCTTTCATTTAATGTGTGCATGTATATTGTACATATTTATTTCAATGTGTTATGTCTTTGGTTGTATGATAATACTCATTTCATTGTGTCTCTAAATAGTTCCATCGTTATTTCAAGTTTGTCAATTAATTTATGTTGTTGTCTTCTATATCTTTGTGGGTGATTTTCTTTTTCTTTTCTCTCTTTTGGTTTATTGATACCTTTTTTTTCTTTTGGTCTGTGTTCTCTCATAATTGTATTTTTTTTTTCTTTCTTTTTTGCATTAGTTGGACTATCATATTGATATGGTGGACGATTATGATGTATTACTTAAAAAAGACAACTCAAAATAAACGCAAATCGAATTTTTTCTAATCAATTTTTATTTTGGAATCAGTATGAAGTAACGATTTTTCGTTGTTCATTTTCTTAAATTAAGTAGCGGTTATATTTCATTGATCAATGATTTTCGTTTGCTTCTCAAGTATTTACGATAATATATGTTTTATAGTTTTTCTCAAGATTATTGATATTGAAGTGTAACTTATTCAAATTTCCAGTTACACAAAAGAACATTTTTATTAGATTTGTTGATCCTGAACAAGTTATCAAAGAATTGAATCATTTATTGTCTGAATTAGAAATGTGTAGGACCAATTTTAGTTCTAGTTCTAGTCAACAAGACTGGAACGACGAGAAAAACGTTGCTTGAAGTCGAGCTGAATATTATAATTAAAAACTGACGACTTTAAACGAATTACCTCATAAATCGTTAATCAGAACATAATTCAATCGAGATGATTCAAACAAGTGTTAGTCGTTGATTAAGTAAATCACAAAACAAGTATTGAAGAACATGTTCAGGTGTGATACAAATAAATTCTGAAATAATTTACGCTAGACACGAATCGAAACAATAAAAACTAAAATCAAGAAGATCAGAACTAGATTAGATTTAATGGGGTCTGATCTAAACCAAAACAACTCTGGTACCACACATCTATAGTCTGGATATTCTAATGCATCGATTGAAAAATGTACTTGTTGAGTTGACAATTAAAGCAACATGAGTTGCTCATCATTTCTTTTGCAGGAGTTCTGAGTCCAAGTGTGAACCAGTGGAGACTTCAGACTTAAAGTCCACTTTTCTATCCTCGTATGAGCCAGACATTCGAAAAAATCTACCTTTTGCAAGCTTGCCTTGATTATCAGTGCCTTCGTACTATTCAAAAGTTAATAATACTATGACGATTTTTGAACACAAGTAGAAGACTATCGTTATACGAAAACATTGAAGTTATGTAAATGTTGACGCTGTTCTCGAAAACTGGTTGAGTATTTTGGTTTCTCCTTATCGTAACGAACGACAATGTTGAGTAATCACAATAGAGAAATTCATGAAATGTTTACAGAAAAAGAAAAAAAAGACTAACACAATGAAATCATAGTTACAGCAAATGAATCATGAATTTTTATCCACTGGGGAAAAAAAAAGCCAGTGAGGAAAAAAATAAAAGCAAGACTAGTTTTGAACTTTGTCCCATTCGTTAAAGTTTTTCATCGACGAAGGTAAGCAGCAGCTGTATCTATGAATACTATTTTGATGAAGGAAATCATAACTGACAACGTGAGATGGTAAATTTCTATTTTCAGAAAGTTCAAATGAAATGACTATAAGAAATTTTCGTACAAATTTCATTCAGTACTTTAAGAAATAAATACAGACAATTGATTTCAACATAAAAAGAATATCGAAAATAAATTGAGTCGTTCTTTGATTGAGACAATTAATTCATCTTATTACTGTTAACTATTTGGAAATCCTTCATTGAATAAATGACGCTCTTATCTTCGCCCATACATATTCAACTTTTACATCGTCAACTATACCCACACACTTCTTTACTCAATCCAATCTCAAAGATATACACTTCACTTCCATTTTGTTGTCATAGTAAAATGAATTTCCCAGACTAAGCCAACGACATCATAGAAGTTCTATCGCTTCAATTGAATTTGTAAACATGAATTTTAATCATACATCATTGGCATTTAATCTGGACATTTCCAGTAGTTTTCTTTAGCTTTTGTAATTCATATGCACAAACTTGACTTTTCTGATAATTGAAATTCACTATACCCTCACTGACGCTTGTTGATAACGTAGAACGATTTCAGTAGATGGAAAAAAAAAAGAAGCTATTTTGAATGAATCCTATTCTGAAGCTATTTATAAAAGAAAACAATGAAATTATTCTCTTGAAAATTCTCAAAAACTTATAAAGACATTCAAATAATAAAATGATTATCGCTGAGATAAAAAAAAAAAAGAATTAATGAAATGAAATCAAAGTTGTTTAATAGATTATTAATAATTGTTTCTGTTTCTTGTTATTTCAGCATACTATAAGAATACATATCATTAACAAATATCAATAATCAATCAAAGAAAACTGCTGCTAAAGATATGGTTACTCAATCTAATAAACAACAACTTGTTCTATTCGATGGAGATGATCATCGAACTGAGTTATTTCAAGATATTAAACAACTATTGATGATTCCATTTCATTGTGAATTTTACATTTTTTGCAATGATACAGATTCAATTCAAAGTAAAATCTTGAATCATATAAGTGATATTTCACAAGTACGTGTTCGAAGATCAACCGAGTCAATTAGTCAAAGACTCTTAGATTTTATTCAAACAAACATTGACAAATATTCATTTATTCTTATTGTATGTGGTTCCAAGCCGACATATGAACATGTATTCAAGAATATTTGGAAAAAATATGGAAGAAAAAAATTATTCGTCATGCAAACAAATGATCAATCTCATAGTGTAGTGAAAGATATTCTCACTCAACTTCGCCAACATAGAAGCCAATCAAATAATCAAGCATCAATATCAAATAATACACAAGTCTATGCCGATAATGAATATTCTCAATCAGTTAATTTGATTGGTACTCAACAAAAAACTGAGAAAATTGTTTATGGTTCATTACTTGATAAAGAAATATACATGGACTTATCAGCAAATGATTCATTCAATAAAAAAAATAATAGAAACAACAAATTGATTGTTCAATCTGGAATTCATTGTTCAAACTGCAATGAAGACTTTCCATCAATGCGAGCTCTGAGAAAACATATCGAAGACGAATGTCTATCCATGACACAAGATGATTATGAATAAAGACATGATCAGATTACTTTTCCAATGTATAGTAAAAATAAATATGGCTAATTGATTGAAAATGCTATATTGTTCATGTTAAATATACTTTAATGAATAACTCTACTAAAGTAAATCCTAATGTTATCAACTCTTCTTTTCTGTTTTGTTATGTGTTTATGCTTGTCTATCATTTATCTACATATATTGTTTGATGTTCATTAAAAAGTTTTGTAATTTTTCTCGTTTTCAAAACGAATTATCTTGATATTTGCTCAAAAATAAACTTTTCAAATTATTGTTCAAGTTTGTTTTTCTTGACTATTGACGTTGATAAGATTTTACACTACCTATTGAATTAATTTATTACATTCTTGATTATAAAAGTAGTTATCAATATATTGTCTGCAATGATTTATTCATGTGCGAGTCCTGGAGAGTATCTTGAAAATTGTTGTTAGGTTCCCTATCATGTTAGTATCAACTCAGAGAAGGGCAATGCTGCTCTTCTCAAGACAATCGATACATTTTTCTCGATAAGCATAAAATGACTTGGTTTTGAATAATCGATTTTAATTTTGATAGACAATGGAACTGATTCAATAAGCTAACCGATTGCATCTATGTTTAATTAATTGTATACGATTATAATGAATTTTCATTTCGGTCACTCTGTTGGTCAGAAATAAAAAATCAACTCTTTACTTGTAGTTAAATCAAATGTTTAAATATTTCTGATACGAATTTACATTATGACATTCATTACCATTTGACACTTGTTCTTAATCTTTACTTTGAGTATTAGCCTTATTCAAACCAAGTGGCTTCATCGGCTTCAATGGAAAGAGTTATTAATGCAGCAATAATATCTATAGTATGTGTCTGTACAGTTGCTCTAAAAGCATAGTCAATGAGAACTCAATGACATTGAAAGTAAAGCACGATTATCACCTGTTCGTTATGAGGTATATCACTTTATGAATCGATTTTTTAATTTTCAAATATTTGAATTAATAAATTTCAATAGAGACACATCTATTTTGTAAAGTATTGGGTACCTTTTGCAATAACTCATATTGATTGCTGAATGTTCTAAAGATCTCTAGTCGAATACGACAATGAGCTTCTTTTATCTACTTGAAAAAGTACATAACATATGTGGGTGTGGATATGAGTCTTCAGTGCATCCACACATACGCCCACACTTATACCATCGTTACCATATCATAAACACTTGTTGAACAGCAATGCATATATTAAATCAATGATAGATGCTTGTAAGAGAATCAATATGTAAAACTTTAGTGCCAACATATTCATGATCAATAAGGACATTATTAATGTAATGAAGATTAGAAATAGATACCATAACTAACTTCGGAAGCACCTTTCATATGAAAGACCAAAATAGAAAGGACGTCTACGATTAAACCTACTATTCACATTAACATTGTCATAGTCAGACTTAAAATCTTGTATAATATCATCCTCACCATAATCGTCAGCGATGATATATGACTGGATCTAACTTGTATGGCCTCGAGGTCCACTACAGTATCGAAGGTCTCTCTGGTTATGCTGGAGAAGAATGATTAAAGCAATGAACTCATCAAGTCTAGTCTACTGTTCAACAGTTACAAATAAAGCACAACACATTTGTCATAAACAATAGATTCGAGTGTCCTTCTACCCGTTTCAACTGTTCTTTTTTCAGTTCACTAAATATTATTGTTGTTGAGATATAAACTCTTGAGTGTTTGCATGAAAAGTGCAAGAGTTCAGCGCAGTTTTTGTGAGAGCATTGGTGGCATATTCTGTTCCTTGCTCTCCAATTTGATTTTGTCCAAGGACGAGTGTGGTGAGTGTCTGTGTGAAAAGTGCAGATGGTCAAAAGAGAGACGAATAAAGAATGATGTTTACCTTGTTGTTTGTGAGACCTTTGGACAGATGTTGTGCGCCTTGGCTTCCGATTCGATTGCCATAAAGGTTGAGTGTAGTGAGAGTCTGCGTAAAAAGTATAGACGATGAAGAGAGAGATCAATAGAGAATGATGTTTACCGTATTGTTTGCAAGAGCATTGCCGAGATGTTGTGCTCCAGTTGGTCCGATTTGATTGCTGTAAAGGTTGAGTGTGGTGAGTGTCTAAGTGAAAAGTACAGATGATCAAGTGAGGGACGAATAGATAATGATATTTACCGTGTTGTTTGTTAGAGCATTGGCGAGATGTTGTGCCCCTCGGTTTCCAATTTGATTGTTTCCAAGGTCGAGTGAGATGAGCGTCTATGTGAAAAATGCCGATGATCAAGTGAGGGATGAGTAGAGAATGGAGTTTACTGTGTTGTTCCTAAGAGCATTGGCGATGTGTTGTGCTCCTTGGTGTCCGATTTGATTAAAGCTAAGGTTGAGTCTGGTGAGTGTCTATGTGGAAAGTGCAAATAATCAAGAGAAAGATATGAAAAGAATAATGTTAACCATGTTGCTTATAAGAGCATTGGAGAGATGTTTTGCTCCTTGGTCTCCGACTTCATTACCATAAAGGCTAAGCATAGTCAGTGTCTATGTAAAAAGTAAAGACGATGAAGAGAGAGACCGGTAGAGAATGGTGTTTACTGTGTTTTTTGCGAGAGCATATGCAAGATGCTGTGCTCCTTGGTCTTCGATTTGATTGTTTGGAAGGTCGAGTGTGTTGAGTGTCTATATAAAAAGTGCACATTGCCAAGAGCAAGATCAGTATTAGAGAATGATGTTTACCGTATTCTTCGTGAGAGCTTTAGCGAGATGTTGTGCCCCTTGGTCTTTGATTTGATTGTTTCCAAGATCGAGTAAGGTGAGTGTCTGTGTAAAAAGGGTAGATGGAAAAGAGAGAAATCAGTAAAGAATGGTGTTTACCGTATTCTTTGTGAGAGATTTGGCGAGATGTTGTACCCCTAGTTTACCGATTCCATTTCCATAAAGGCTAAGTGTGGTGAGTGTCTGCATGACAAATGGAGATGGTCAAGTGATAGATAACTAGAGAATGATATTTACCATGTTCTTCGTGAGAGCATGTGCGAGATGTTGTACCCCTTGGTCTTCGATTTGATTGTTTCCAAGATAGAGTGTGGTTAGTGTCTATATGTAAAAATGTAGATGATCAAGAGAGAGATCAGCAGATAATGGTGTCCACCGTATTTTTTTGTTAGAGAATCGATGAGTACCGTGAAATCTCATATTCTCAAACAACATCACACTAGCTTCATATATGAATCGACCAACAATTAATATGTGATAACTATCCTCGAAAAAGTTGTATCAGAGAAGAGCGCAAACGTATGAATGGGTAAAAACGAGTTTTACTTGAACAGAGAGTTAACATTTTTTTGAAAAATGGAGAGCTTATTTTTTAATACAATTGGCAAGTTACCGAAAGATGAGAAGTATTAAAACCATTAGATATGATATGAACTATCCGTCGTATATGCAGGCAAGAAGAACCAACATTTGACCTAGTACAAAATGGTTATTCTCAATGAACATTAATTTAGCGAAGGAGAAATATGTAACATATGGAT